CCGGAAACTATGATACAATTTTTTCAGTTTTCTTTAATGAATAAAAAGTTCAAAAGAACAGCATTTATTTGATTTTTTTTTTGTGACCTTGCAACATTTTTTATTGTAACTTATAATCCGTTTAATGCATCTGTACTGAATAAATATTAATTAATTAATTTTAAAAAATAACAAAATAAACCAATCTTACTGACCACAAATGTTTAAACAGTAATATAAATGTCAATATTTGTTATTACATATATTTTTATGTATACAGTAACATAACTTGTATATTATAGCATCTTGACTAGATTATTTCTGGATTTTTTCATTTTTTGCATGAATTATTAATTAAAAATATCTTTAAAGATTTTATAGAATATTGAAATTATGTTTAAGATCTTATGGAATATTGGAATTATTTTAAGAATTATATATTCCAACAGACTTAAAAAAAGAAAAAAAAACTGAGAACTCAAATTAAGTGAACTCATCTCACACAATACAGTTACTTAATACCTAAACACACTTTTCTGTTCGAATGTTTAAATGTACTTTAAAATTACCTTTTTAAAATGTAAAAGGCACTAGTTTGATGACTCCTCCTCCTCTCCTTCAGCAATATTAAATATTAATCTCCTCCAGTCTATTTATTCTCAATCGATACGCTGTGTTAACACCAAGACTGCTTTCCCATCTCGGCTCAGGCTCTGGTGATTAATATGGCAGTTAGTGGCATCATCTCTTACATTTACTGGTCAATGTGTCATTACTTTCTCATCAAGATTGTGGTGTGATGACCCCGGCACCTGCCACAGATGGCAGAACAGTGTAAATGATCATGTTGAAGCAACTTAATGGATTAGTAAATCTACAAGGAATTGGCAAGCACCCATGATAAATAAAATAGCTAATAGACCACATTTTGGGATGCAAGACGGGTATGTACAAATAGTCATGTGAATTATATAACAGCGGAGATGCTGGTTTAATTAAAAAAAAGTAGGCGTTTTTTTGGATGAATAAGTAGTGAGATTGTTCAGTGTTGGATTTGTGTGCATATTCAACAGACTGTTGTTTTGTAGTAACTGCTAAAAGTGTGGAGAGTGTTGAGCAGCAAACAGCCATATGGAGATGTTTGCATAAGTGTTAAAGTGGGAGTACATATGCTAGTCTATGGCTCCAATTCAAAGCTGAATCCTTCTCCTTCCTCTCCACAGGTTTTCCCAATGAGCCGGCAGCAGAAATCGCCCTGAAGACCGTGTGTGACTGGATCCTAAGCAACCAAGATGAGGTAGGCGCCGCTGCTGGTGGTAAACCCTCCTTAGTTCACAGGTCCTCGCGCTTCAAGTTAGAGGAGAACACCTGGTTTGAAGGGCAGATTTTTTTTATAATAGGAAATGCTTGTGAAGAAAAGGAAGTGTTGGAGCCGGAATCCACAGTCCATTTCCCTGATGGAAAATCAATTAAAGCTTACAGCTCTTCCAGGAGGAAAATGTGAAGTGGCAACTGCTCTCTTCATTGGTCATGTTTGTCTCTCTTTGTCTGTTTGTACTTCTCTTATGTCACGTCCAGCTGTTTAGCCACTGCTAAAGACGTCTGGTTATGCTAGGATGCACAACTTTGAGGTTTGAGCACTTTTAACAAAGCGTTAATGACCTGCCTGTTCTTATATCTGAGAAACCAGGTCTAAACAAATGAAGGTAACAAATTCCTTGTGAAAACCCAAACCAAGCTGCCTTGATCATCTGTGCAGCTAGTTACCGTCACACACTTTGAATTTAAAAGCATTTCAGCTCGAGGAAAGTCCTTACATGGTCTGTTGGCTTTTTAAATGGGTTTGTGCTGCCTATTCGGTGCAGGAAGGTAGGGAGGAAGTGTAAATAAAATAAGCAAAATTAATTTGTAAATCAATTAAGTGATTACAGTGCTGTTGAAAGACTGAACGCATGAATGTGTAGTGATGTTGACAGGTAGATGTGCTAATTAAGTGTTTGACTTGACAGGTTTGTTTGTGATTATTTGCGTCATTGTCTGTTCGTGATGATTGCTTCAGTGTGTTTAGACCAAATTGACTGTACAAAGCATATTACATGGTTTTTGTTTTGACAATCATAGAAGTGGATAAATGAAATCCCTCTTAACTTCACATTAACTGAAGTACAGCTGCTGACCTCCCAGTTAATCATCCTGCTGTTAGAATGAACAAGATCAATAAGCAATCATAAACTGTAATGTTGTGCTTGCTCTTGAGGTATTTGACTTTGATGATGACAAGTGAGTGGTACTATGGCAGAGTTTTTCAAAAGGGGTCTGTGGACCCCTAGTAGAACATGAAATAATTGCAAGGGATGCAGTTATTTTTTTAAAAGGTATGAAATAACAGATACGTTTTTAATAAAAAGGTTCACAGCTGCCAAAGCTGTCTGACTGTGACGTGTACATACTGTATTGCTAGTTTTATGTAAACATTTAATCGTTTTTCTATTACAATAAATGAAATATCAATGCGGAATGATGAACTTTAATATGAGTAATCGACTAAAGCTTTCCACTCTAAATCTCAGACTTTCAGTCATGCAATGCTGACACTGACTTTGTTTATATACTGCCGTAATCCATCTGCTGGCCCCATTAAGACACTGCAGTTAGGAATTTGCCTTGTGAGCAGTATTTTCCTATTATCTTAATCCAAGTAAGCTCATATTTGCAATAAACAGAATTAAATTAAGACTTCAGACTGATTGTGAAGTATGTGTAGCAGCTGCAATATGAACGTTTTGCAAATGGAAGAAAAAGAAGCCAGAGCTCATCATGCTCAAGATTTTCATGCTCAGGAAATCCTGGGTTTCCTATAAGTGAACTCAGACGTAGAATGGACGACATTAATATGCAATTTTATTCATTAATCAGGATGTACTCCGTACAAGAGGAATATAAATGGAGTAGTTCTACAAACAACCTGTAGTCACACACCCATTTAGAACAGCATACAAACAAATACAACTTTGTGGGTGCCACTCTCATTCCTCCGGATTTCTCAGAATAGATTGCATAACAGATTTCTGGACCACTTTTATTGAGTGGCCTTTGCCTGCGGGAGCAGAGAGCAGTTTAATTTATTGTGATTGTTAGGCCAAAGCAAAGCCTGCAGGTTGATTGTGAACTGAAGGGAAGTGAGGATTAATTACAGAGTATTTAGCCAGAGAGAACAAAACACAGTAAGAGCCGTAAGAGGGATTTATTGTTCTCTTCTAATGGTGTGTCTTCACCCCAAGTGTTACCTGATCTTTTTACTGATGTCTAACATTGCTTCTGGCTTCTATTTTTTATTTATTTATTGAGTAAAGAAAAGAAGTAAAGGCTAAGTATTGCAATTTGAATGAATTGCACCTGCTGATATTGCTTATCCCACATATTTTTAACTTTTTTTTATTTTTTATTAAACTAATCAAGTAGCAGCTTATGCACACAAGCAATTTGTGCTGTATCTAGATTGTAAAGAGAAATTGTCCATATACTTTTTCAGATATGCATCTGATATCCAGTTTATTTAGGCACTTTATCTAGCCCATTGAATCAGACGATCTGACACCTAAAGATGCTTTACAATGAACTTCAGAAGGGAGATACTCTGATAATGCTCTGGTAATATTTCAAGATAATACTAAACCTGAGCATAAGAACTCCTCTAAAATTATTCCTAAATTATGTATGGAAAAGGGCAGCTGCCTGAAGCTCTTTATTTGATGTACCCTGCTGATTGTTGCAGATGTTATCACAGTAATATTATTTCTGTTGAAGGGATTGTTCATCCAAAAATTTTTATTCTATTATCATTTACTCACCCTCATGCCTTTCCAAACCTCTATGACTTTCCTTCTTCTGTGAAAGACAAATGAAAATATTTTGACGAATGTTGGTATTCTATTCCTTTAAGCTCACTAGGGTAAAGCAATGAAAGTCCAAAAGTGATGCAGGTCATCCTAAAACACTGGGAGTTTGTAGCCTTTGCTTTGTTTTGCTATATACTATGTATATATGTGACCCTGGACCACAAAACCAGTCTTAAGTCGCTGGGGTATATTTGTAGCAATAGCCAAAACATTGTATGGGTCAAAATTGTTGATTTTTCTTTTATGCCAAAAATTATTAGGGTATTAAGTAAAGATCATGTTCCATGAAGATATTTTGTAAATTTCCTACCTTTTATATATCAAAACATTGCTAAGAACTTCATTTGGACAACTTTAAAGGCGATTTTCTCAATATTGAGATTTTTTTGCACCTTCAGATTCCAGATTTTCAAATAGTTGTATCTCGGCCAAATATTGTCCTATCCTAACAACCCATACATCAATGGAAAGCTTTCAGATGATGCATAAATCTCAACTCCTAGCAGTTTAATTTATTGTGATTGTTAGGCCAAAGCAAAGCCTGCAGGTTGATTGTGAACTGAAGGGAAGTGAGGATTAATTACAGAGTATTTAGCCAGAGAGAACAAAACACAGTAAGAGCCGTAAGAGGGATTTATTGTTCTCTTCTAATGGTGTGTCTTCACCCCAAGTGTTACCTGATCTTTTTACTGATGTCTAACATTGCTTCTGGCTTCTATTTTTTATTTATTTATTGAGTAAAGAAAAGAAGTAAAGGCTAAGTATTGCAATTTGAATGAATTGCACCTGCTGATATTGCTTATCCCACATATTTTTAACTTTTTTTTTATTTTTTATTAAACTAATCAAGTAGCAGCTTATGCACACAAGCAATTTGTGCTGTATCTAGATTGTAAAGAGAAATTGTCCATATACTTTTTCAGATATGCATCTGATATCCAGTTTATTTAGGCACTTTATCTAGCCCATTGAATCAGACGATCTGACACCTAAAGATGCTTTACAATGAACTTCAGAAGGGAGATACTCTGATAATGCTCTGGTAATATTTCAAGATAATACTAAACCTGAGCATAAGAACTCCTCTAAAATTATTCCTAAATTATGTATGGAAAAGGGCAGCTGCCTGAAGCTCTTTATTTGATGTACCCTGCTGATTGTTGCAGATGTTATCACAGTAATATTATTTCTGTTGAAGGGATTGTTCATCCAAAAATTTTTATTCTATTATCATTTACTCACCCTCATGCCTTTCCAAACCTCTATGACTTTCCTTCTTCTGTGAAAGACAAATGAAAATATTTTGACGAATGTTGGTATTCTATTCCTTTAAGCTCACTAGGGTAAAGCAATGAAAGTCCAAAAGTGATGCAGGTCATCCTAAAACACTGGGAGTTTGTAGCCTTTGCTTTGTTTTGCTATATACTATGTATATATGTGACCCTGGACCACAAAACCAGTCTTAAGTCGCTGGGGTATATTTGTAGCAATAGCCAAAACATTGTATGGGTCAAAATTGTTGATTTTTCTTTTATGCCAAAAATTATTAGGGTATTAAGTAAAGATCATGTTCCATGAAGATATTTTGTAAATTTCCTACCTTTTATATATCAAAACATTGCTAAGAACTTCATTTGGACAACTTTAAAGGCGATTTTCTCAATATTGAGATTTTTTTGCACCTTCAGATTCCAGATTTTCAAATAGTTGTATCTCGGCCAAATATTGTCCTATCCTAACAACCCATACATCAATGGAAAGCTTTCAGATGATGCATAAATCTCAACTCCTATGACCGGTTTTGTGGTCCAGGGTCACATATGTTATGTTATCTCATACTCATGGGAGTCCCCTAAACTTCAACTTCCAGAGAGATCATTTCATACATAATATGGATGTCTGCACTGAGATCTTTGACAACATATTTAAAAATTAATCTCTGTCCTCTCCAGTCAGTGCAAGAGTCAGGAAAAGCGAGATGAGTTGGATAAAGTGCCTGACCTGCAAACCTCCAGTAGTCCAGGAGCCAAGCAGTGAAAAACTGAGAGAACATGAGCATTTGACATGAATATGTGACTAGGTCCACAGACTTTTCTATTATATTCTTCTATTGTATCTAAAAAATTCTATTCTATTCTATTCTATTCTATTCTATTCTATAACTCCTATGACCGGTTTTGTGGTCCAGGGTCACATATGTTATGTTATCTCATACTCATGGGAGTCCCCTAAACTTCAACTTCCAGAGAGATCATTTCATACATAATATGGATGTCTGCACTGAGATCTTTGACAACATATTTAAAAATTAATCTCTGTCCTCTCCAGTCAGTGCAAGAGTCAGGAAAAGCGAGATGAGTTGGATAAAGTGCCTGACCTGCAAACCTCCAGTAGTCCA